ATCAAACACGATTTCTATGTCGATGACGTCATCACCGGTTCAGACAATGAGTCGCATTTGCTATACATACAGGATAAGCTATCTAGCACTTTGAAATCCGGTGGTTTCAATCTTCGTAAATTCAAATCTAATTTACCATCAATTTCAAAATCATCAGGCACTAATCAAAACAACACTATAAGTTTTAGCGACTCTACAAGCACCCTTGGTTTGGGATGGAATCCATACAAGGATACTCTAAATATTTCTATTAAAGTTCCCCAAGAAGACCAAGCAATTACAAAACGAACCATACTGTCCACATCTTTTAAAATTTTCGACCCTCTAGGGCTTTTAAGTCCATGCATTATTCAGCCTAAAATATTACTACAGTCTCTTTGGCTTGCTAAAACTGACTGGGACGAGCCAATCGGTGACAAAGTACAAAAATCTTGGATTAACTTTGTTGGCAATTTACACTTTCTATCAAACTTACAAATTCCTAGGTTAGTCCTATGTGACTCGCCAGTCAGTCGAGAAATTCACACCTTTAGTGATGCTTCTCAATTAGCCTATGGCGCCTGTATTTACTTGCGCTCCACTAATGCATATGGTGACGTCACAGTAAAACTATTATGTGCTAAATCAAAGGTATCTCCTCTTAAGGCTACTACTATACCACGCCTTGAGTTGTGTGCCGCCTTGTTGGCAGCCGAATTATATAAATCAGTTGTAGATTCACTTCGATACAAATTAGACCTTTCATTCCACTGGTGCGACTCAAGTGTCGTGCTTAATTGGCTTCAAAGCAATAAAAAATTAAAAACCTTTGTAGCCAACAGGGTTTCTAAAATTATAGAACTGACCGAATGCTCAGCATGGCGCTATGTTCCAACTGATCAAAATCCAGCAGATTTGATATCAAGAGGAGTTAACCCTGACCAGCTCGAAGCAATGGATATCTGGTGGTCTGGTCCACATTTTCTTAAGTGTCAAGAATCATTGTGGCCAAGTTTACATGGATCATTGGATGATTCAGAGATTCCAGAACTAAAATCCAATTCTATTTTATTAAATGATAATTGCAAGGAGAAATCATTAGAACAGGTTATAATCAAATACTCTAGTTTTATTAAATTGAGACGTATATTTGCCTATATTAAACGTTTCATTCATAATGCACGTTCTCCCAAACACAAGATTACCGGCATACTAACCGTGAATGAATTAGAGTCATCATTTGCAACGTTATGTAAAATATCTCAGCAAGAGTCATTCGCTCATGAGTATAATTTAATGTCAAGGAATAAGTCCCTTAGCCCTAAATGCAATATTTTATCTCTAACGCCTTTTTTAGATGAAAATAAAGTTATCAGAGTTGGTGGTAGAATAGATGCTTCCAACTACGATTACAATAAAAAACATCCTATTCTCTTGCATTCCTCTCATCACTTAACCAAGATTTATTTTAAATACCAGCATCTAAATAACATGCACGCTGGACCCCAACTATTACTGGCTTGTGTCAGAGATGTTGTATGGCCGATCAATGGTCGACATCTGGCCCGTCGCACGGTTCATGGTTGTGTCACATGTAGGCGCATGCAGGGCAACACAATGACTCCCATGATGGGAAACTTACCTGCACAAAGGATTACAGCTGACTTTCCCTTTCGCACCGTTGGTGTAGACTTCGCTGGACCATTTTATACCATTAATAAGAGAGGTCGAGGTGCTCGGGTAACCAAAACTTACTTGTGTGTATTCGTTTGCTTTCGGTACAAGTGCGTGCACCTTGAGGCAGTAAGCGATTTGTCTAAAGAGTCATATATACTTACGTTACGTAGATTCATATCCAGACGAGGCAAGCCAGCGGAAATATTCTCTGACAATGGTCGCAACTTTGTAGCAGCTGCCAGAGAAATAGGAGATTTTTTAAGGGCCAATGAATCTTCTCTCACAGAATTTGCTCATAATGAGGGTATAAAATTCATTTTTTCGCCTTGTTTTGCTCCTCACTTTGGGGGTATCTGGGAGGCCGGCGTAAAATCCGCTAAATACCATATAAAACGTGTGATGGGTAACACCCATCTAACATTTGAAGAAATATCTACTCTTTTCGCGCAGGTAGAAGCTATTCTGAACAGTCGGCCTTTATGTCCTCTTTCCTCATCTCCTAACGATTATCTTTTCCTAACACCCGGGCATTTTCTGATAGGACGCCCTCTAAATTCATTACCTACGCCTTCAATTGGAAATCAGAATGCTACAAGTCTTGATCGCTATAAGAGATTGGAGCAAATCCGCCAACACTTTTGGCAACGTTGGCAAAAGGAATATATTGCAGAGTTGCAGCAGCGTTCCAAATGGCGCTCTAATTCCACGAAATTATGCGTTGGAGATTTGGTTCTCTTACAGGAAGACAATGTTCCACCACTATGTTGGCGTATGGGACGAGTTAGCCGTTTATTTCCTGGAGCTGATGGCATCTCACGAGTCGCGGACATCGAGACGACCCGCGGCTGTTTTAGAAGACCACTTACCCGCATCTGCCCCTTGCCAACAGCCGACGAAGATTGCTAAGTTGAAAATGGATTCTCAACGAGGGGGAGGATGTCTAAGCGCATAGACTTTGTCTATAACGGAACGCATCATAGTCGTATTACTCACTACCCACTATTTTCTATTTTTAATATATTGTTAAGAATGTCAAGGCGATCCAACACAGACCTTTTGTACTGTACATTAGCACAAGAAATAAAAAGTTTTTTACATCAAAAAACCGAGGTTTACAATTTTAAACTTCCAAATGTCCCCTACGAGACAACATGTGATTGGACAGGAGTTAGGGGGCCCCTAACGATCTAGGGGCCTCGGGCACGGGCCCAGAGTGCCCAGTGAGAAAGAGGGGCCTGTAAACAGGAGGTCGTAGTTTCGATATCCACCCAGAACATATCATTGTGTGATGAGAACGATAATTTGATCACATGACTGCACGGATGGCGTAGTGGTTTAAGCGGGCGCCACGCCGCTTTCTACTGCGATGAGTGTTGTGGGTTTCGATCCCCAAATGGAACAACACTTTGTGTGATCCACAAATTGTTTTTCTAACTCTGGGTGTTCTTTGTGTCTGTTTGTAAAGTCCCCTACGACACAGGATATATTCCTAAAGCGGGCGTTGTTTTTTATTAATTAAAAAAAAACTTCGTGTATTTTTCGACGACCGGATGGCGTAGTGGTTTGTGTAACGGACTGCTATTCCAAAGGTCGCGGGTTCGATTCCCGCTCAAGTCAAGCATTTGATTTAGTCTGGTTATTTATATGTATAATATGTATGTATTTACAAAAAAAAGTATATAAAGGGTATAAGAGACATCGTAACGTATACTGAAATGCACTATGGTAATTATGGTCTGAATACACTATTTCAGTATTAGTTAAGTTATCCCTTACACCCTGTATATATTTATATCAGTTGTCTAGTACCCATAGCACAAGCTCTGCTTAGTTTGGGACTAGATGGCGTTGTGTGAATGTGGTAGAATATTATTATTATTAATTCATAACTTGCACTTTAATCAAAATGGTTAAATCAAACCTTTGGAATAGCAGTCCGTTACACAAACCACTACGCCATCCGGTCGTCAAATTGTAATAATTTGTTGTAGAGGTGATCGTTTAATGATAAACCATGTGTGTGGTGTTATTTACCAATAAATAGTCTTAACATTTATTTAATAAATGCCTATGATAAAAAGGAATTCCTTCCTACTGCTGCAACTCCTTTGTTTTTTTTTTTGTTTTTTTTTTTTCCGTGCGGAAATCCCCTCGGATACCACCTGTCGGTGGCATGTCGGACACGAACCGACTAAAACCGCACGCCGTCTCGGGTACTAATAGCCGGGGAACCAGGTATACCCTAGAAAGGAAGTCCCTGGTGCCCCGACATACCTCGGGTCATCTACAGACGAGTAGACGATCCCCCCCCGGCTGCTGCAACTCCTGTACACTATAAGATCAATTACGGTAATGAAAATTCGATCAAAATTCAGTTCCAATCAACTCTCGATCTCACAACTATCATAAAATATATTTTCGTAGTAATGTATTAAATATTCAACGTTGACTGTAATGTGATTATATGGTATTGGGACCGAAAGTTGAAAAAATTGAAAATCAATATTTTGATAGTCTTAATTTTTTTTATGGTATAAGGGGGGCAAACGAGCAGACGGGTCACCTGATGGCAAGCAACCACCGCCGCCCATGGACACCTGCAACTCAAAAGTCACACGTGCGTTGCTGCCATTGGAGTCCCTCCTCGAGTCAGCGGGAGGGGGGATTTGGGCTCCGGTAACCTCACTCACTCAGTGAAAGGCAACGAAAGAATCGCTTAACACCGGTTTTCTGTGAGGCCGGCCTGGTGGTGGTATCACTCCGGTCGTGCCGGCCCATTCGTGCCGAAGCATGGCTTTCCCACGGTAGTAAGTGATATACATCTCTCTCTGTTTTTATTATAGCTGAATATAGAATATAGCTTATTGTTGTAAATAAATAAAAAAATAATTGAAATTTATTTTCAACAAACAAAAGGAATAAATTTTGTCCGTTTTGCAATATTTTTCATCGACGCTCGGCTTTTATCTTACTTAGCCTTACTCGATAAATGGACTATCCATAACACTAAAAGATTGAATTCAAACCAGTAGTTCCTGAATTTAGCGCGTTCAAACAAACAAACTCTTCAGATTTATAATATTAATATGACTGCACGGATGGCGTAGTGGTTTAAGCGGTCGTCACGCCGCTTCCTACTGCGACGAGTGTTGTAGGTTCAAACCCTACATGGGACGACACTTTGTGTGATCCACTAATTGTTGTTCTGAGTTTGGGTGTCCTTTGTGTCCGTTTCATGTATGTTTGTAAAGTCCCCCGCGACACAGGATATATTCCTAGTGCGGGAGTTTTCTTTAAAAAAAAATTGAAAAGAAAGGAATTGATATAGATTTATCATAGTATACCTTGAGCAGGTCAAGTGGACACCCATCCAATACTTCAAGAGCAAAGGCCTTGTTGTTCTCGTAACTATCTTCTAGATGGAGAAGGAGCTTTTCCACATAATCCGGAGTCCATGCTCTAAAAAAGGCAAACGAGAATAGTTATTATACCTTCGAACTCCTAAAATATGAGCCGGTTCGACTGGAGTACCAGGAACTTACAGAAAACCGGTGTTAAGCAGTTTTTTCGTAACTTTTCGCCGAGTGGGTGAGGTTATCTGAAGCATCATCATCATCAACAGCTTTTTATAGTCCACTGCTGGACATAGGCCTCTGCTTAGAAAGGAAGTTTTGGCCTACTGTACCACAATGGCCAGACGGGTTGGTATATTTTTTATTTTATTTAATTCTTTTTGCACAAACAACAATTCATTGTACAATGGCGGACTAAATGCCACAGACATTTTCTCCGAGTCTACCTTTGGGTGGTGGGGAAATGTCTGAGTAGGTGCACTAGAAATTAAGTTTTATATGTTACGAGATAGACACAGTGTGACAGATATACATACATACTGAGATACACATACATATATACTTGCTGAGTTACATACATACATGTATATGTGCTATCCTGATTACCAGAGGCAGAGCCCATAGGAGATATAGCTTTCTTCTGGTCCTGCGTAGTGTGCTCCCTTAGTCGAAATGAATAAGGGTGGTAACCCACCGTATTCTTAATCCGTCACCACTCTGAAGCACAAACTTTTTTTGGAGGAAGACATAAATGTCCAAGTTGTGACTTTTGAGTTGCAGATAGCCATGAGCAACAATAGTCAGGTGACTTTCTGTTGCCCCTGTCATAAAAAAATGTGCCTGGACGTAGTCGCCTAGTCAGGAGGTTGCCCTTAGGGAGAGTTTTTACTTCTTGGGGCAGGTACTAGAAGCCGTTCATGTCGTAATCGTAGGTGTTAAAGGGTCCTTCAAATTTTAGACACAAACAATATCCAGGGGATGATAACTCATAATTATATTAACGGGCCTGTTGGTCTAGTGGTAAGTGACTCTGACTGCTAAGCCGGAGGTCGTGGGTTCGATTCCCACCCAAGACAAATAATTGTGTGATGAGCACGATCATTTGTTCTGTGTCTGGGTGTAATTTATCTATAATATGTATGTATTTATTTTATATATATATATTTTAGGACAACAGCACTGCAAAGAGAAGGAAAACTGGGAACAAACCCTATATCAACCGGAGGACTGTTATAGGCTGTTGATGATGATGTATGTGTTTAGAAATATATATTTATCAGCAGTCCGGTTAACATAGACTTACCATAGACATATAGAGACTCTGCCTAGTTTTGGATCAGACTGTCGTGTGTGAGATGTATAAAATTATATATATTTATTTAAATACCAAATATGAAAATAGTATTTGAATATATAGTGGGTGGTTTGATTTTTAATGACTCGCTAGTTTATTCGTTCGCCATTTTCATTCTATTTTTTTTTTTTGATTATCATAACTCAGGAGTCACAAGCGCGGTGCCGGCCTTAAAGGTAGGAGTTTGTTTGTTAAGTGTAGTTAAACTAATTTACCAAAATGAGTGCCAAAATGACTATTAGAGAACAAATATTTGTTTTGCATAGTTAAGGCAAAAACTTTTCAGAAATTGCGGAAGAGACTGGTGTAAACGTAATTTTTCCTTTTTTTTTTAAAGACTGCCCCCGCACTAGCAATATATCCTGTGTCGCGGGGGACTTTGCAAACATACATGAAACAGCCACAAACAACACCCAGACTCAGAACAACAATTTGTGGATCACACAAAGTGTCGTCCCATGTGGGGATCGGACCCACAACACTCAGCGTAGTAGTGAGTGGCGTGGCGACCGCTTAAACCACTACGCCATCCGTGTAGTCCAATTAAGAAACTACTAACGCCATCTAGTATATTTTTTAATGAACTGGATTCAAGTGATTGCTGTACACTTACCCAATATATCCATCGAAATGAAGTCGATGAGTCCAAACTAATAGCTGCAGGGCGACGTACCGACGACTGTAGTTGGTCCCCGGTAACAAACTGTCAAAGCACTGCTGCCGAAGCTGGTCCACGAAACGCAAGTAATATTCAACCTTATTGTTGACGGTGTTCGATTCTCTTTGCCTTTTGATAACTTTGTAGCTGTCTTCTAAACGTTTCATGAACTACAAAATGCTAAATCGTAAACATGCGCATTTCAGGATCACGTAGAAATAACGCGATCAAGTATTATTCAAACAGCAGTAGACATAAGTATATGGTTTTAATTTTAACTCAAAACAGATAAAGGGTCTTGACAGACAGACAGACGGACAACAAAGTGATCTTTTAAGAGTTCCGTTTATTCCTTTTGAGGTACGGAACCCTAAAAATGTATAATCTAGACACGAAACATGCGTAATTTTTAACTAACAACAGACGTATTGTTTAGTAAAATTAATAAACTTGATTACGTACATGAATAGATAATTTAGTAAATTTGAGCAGCCTTTAAAATACCTTTTTCATACAGGACAGAGTGAGTTGTCTGAAGTTCGGCGCCTGCGCATTGATGTTGTACTTTAAGTACCATAACACGAAGGCCAGGTCACCTGCCGTGAACTCCTCCGTGCTCTTCGGAGACTCCACTATCAATGACAGAGACAAAATCCGCGTCTGAAAATATGTGGGTACACAGATATTTAACGGAAAACGAGCGACCTTTATACCAGTCGTATTTGGTGTGATGGTAAGCAACTACCGCCGCCCATGGACACCTGCAACTCAAAAGTCACAAGTGCGTTGCTGCCCTTGGAGTCCTTGGAGTTTGGGGATTTCGGCTCCGGTAACCTCACTTACTCATTGAAAGGCAACGAAAGAATTGCTTAACACCGGTTTTCTGTGAGGCCGTGGTATCACTCCGGTCGAGCCGGCCCATTCGTTTGTTGTAAAAATATTTTACTTAAAATTAAATTAAATTTAAAATTAAAGTTATATTATAAAATACCTTGAAAAGTCTCTTAAAACTCTTTTAAAAATTAATTCTAACTTTTTAATTGGGCCAGCTACAAAAGTATGTTTTCTTCTAAGTGAAACTTCTTAAGTATTGTTGTAAGTTTTGTAAGTTGTTTGAAAGTCGATGAAACGAAAATGCGTCACGATAAAGAAACAAACACATAAATGTATAGGATTAAGTCGGCGAGCGAATGAGATAGAATAACATTACAGATTATTTTTAATATAATATTTTGACAATGTGAATATTTTTCTCTTTTTATTTAATACCAACAGGTACCTGCGACTTCGTGGAATTTGAAAAACTGCCTTAGTGGGTTCGATTCTTTAAAATTTTATAGGGTTTTTCTTAGATAAAAAAGGAAAATAAATAGCCTAAGTTACTCCTAATATAGACAAATATTTTTTCTGTAGTGTCACTTCTACCGTGTATAAACACACACACACACACCCACACACACACACACACACACACACACACACACACACACACACACACACACTATGATTTTTTTATCAATAATATGAGTATGTATTGTTTCAGCAGTCTAGTACAGTGGGTACATTTTGACCATGCGCCAAAAAACATTGTCACTTCAAACTTTGACAAAAGTCTGGAACAGACTACTACAGGACAGTAAACACCCTCAATTCTAGTATCGTATCATAGGTACCTCGTCAACAGCATCAATAGCAGCTCGCCTCAGAACCTCGTACCCGATGACCCCCCTCCACTCGTCGCTCCTGTCCCCTCCAGAAAGCGGCAGACTGTCGCTGGCGCCGGACTTGCGCGTCACCGACAGAAGCATCAGGACACATTTCAAGTCCATGGGTTTGCTTGTGTTTTCGTGGGACTGTTTTATGTATGGTATTCTGTGGTAAAATAAACAGGAACGTAGTCACCTTATCCTCATGTTTTGTACTTTTTTTGTGGTATTGGGTATAAATGAGCATAAGGGGCAACTGATGGTAAGTAATTGCCTCCGCCTATGGACCCCTGCGAGGAAAGAGACGCAAGTCTAGACATGGAGTTTATTGCTATTTTTAAATCATATTCATTTGATAAAATGATTGGCTTTAGTCACAGCCATTTCAATACTCAATAGTTTATTGCTTCCATATGTAAATTGTACAGTTGGTAAAAACTTAAGCTGGGTATCAATTATGGACCCTGTGGGGCACAGCATAGAAGAGAGGGATAACCTCCTTTCTAAGGAGAGGATTATGTCCAGCAGTGGACTGTTAAAGGCTGTCGAAGGTGAAGGTGATGATGACTTACAATCGGGCGACCCATCTTCTCATTTATCCTCGATACAGAGGTTTCAAAATCTGCTCTACGTACATGTAGTGAATGAGTCCGCGATCCAGCTTGACGGCGGTGACGAGCAAGTTCTCCAGGATGTTGATGACGGTGCAGTCGGGGTCGGAGCGCGCGGCGTGCTCCAGCACGGGCCGCAGCCAGCGCGCCTGCAGCTCCTCCGTCCCGCACGACCTGGCGTGGGAGCTCACCAGGCTCTCCAGACACACTGTTGCCTAATGGAAGATAACAACCTTGTAAACAGTTAAATACCGAAAACGTTATTCTGTTGGAAAAAGGATTCATTTCTCTAGTTCTAGTTGTGAAATTGAATTCAGTTCCGCTTGAAGACTATTTAAAAAAAAAAAAACGGTTGTCTGTAAGTCGGTTTACTGACGATAGTTGAACGTGACAACGTCATAAGAAAATACTGATGGAATGGTTGCATTTTTCAAAAATGTATTATTGTATACGAGTAGCAGCGGGCCACGCGGACGCATCGCTCACTCAAGTAGGAGAGAGACAGATATCGAACGCTGCCGAACGCGGAGGCCGATTGTGCCTCTTTGTCGCTCGTGCCGCGCTCTCGCTTGCACTTCACGCCTTAAATGGAACGCCTCAGAGCGAGGTAACGCCGCATGAGTCATGTTTTTTCGTGCGTGCAGCCGGCTCTATCGAATTATAAGACGTTATCACGTCAATTATCACGTCAAAAGTATAATCAACTTCAACAATCCGTATTGTAATAATCCGTATTCTTCACGCCCTATTTCCCTCCAAGGTGGAATTTTTCCTCCCAATTTCATCAATTTGGTCCCACCATGGAAATAATACAAATTTCTAATAAAAAATAATTACAAACTAAGAAAAAATGATTATTTATCTATTCATGTACGTAATCAAGTTTATTAAAGTAACGTTTAAGTCAACATACGACTAATTTTACTAAACAATACGTCTGTTGTTAGTTAAAAATTACGCATGTTTCGTGTCTACATTATACATTTTCAGGGTTCCGTACCTCAAAAAGAATAAACGGAAGTCTTATAAGATCACTTTGTTGTCCGTCTGTCTGTCAAGACCCTTAACAAAAATTGGTCCAACAAGTCGAGGACACCACGTACTTTTTTTTTAAAGGTCTACTAGCAACCAAAATTACTAGTATTTCCGTTAACCCTTCCCGCTAAAATTGGCTTGTTAGGAGTGGGTTCACGTCGGTAGTGTAGTGGTTAGGATCCGAAACCACGACCTCTTGATCGCAAGACCAATGCCTTAACCACTATAGTTAAACCGCCGTAAGCTTGGCCCTCTTGATGGTTTGCGGGACGCGGGGCGGGTGATGCGCTCGGCTATACATGACACAATGTACTAACTCGATTTCTTCAGATTTATTTGTTTGAGATTTAATCTACACACGATGTAATAAAAATATAATTTATTTCCATGTATTATAATGTCAGTGTATTGTAAGTTTTTATGATTAATTGTAAAATTTAATACTGTAAAATAATTTTAATAAAATCACCTTATCTTCATCATGTAAATTATATTCAGATACAATTTTAAAATTTAAGTAAAATAATAAATATTCTTTATTAGAACTTTAACAATAGAACCTCTGTAAGCCGAACTTCAAGTTTTTCAATCTTTTTGTGACGCAGAGTCGGCAGATTATCCATGTTGCAAAATAATACCGTGTGTAGCTGTCTTAAGAAAAATAACACGTACAGCCATGCTTTCACGTCAGTCACTGCCGGCGGACAGCGACGCACTAGCTAATTGGTTGAATGCACCCCCGCCCCGCGTCCCCCAAACCATCAGGAGGGCCAAGCTTACGGTGGTTTAACTATAGGCTACTGCTGCTTCATATTTAAAAGGCCAAGTAGACTTGGTCTACTATTTAATGAATAGACAACAACAGTGGCAAGCTCTATAATATACTTCCTGTGGGAATACAAGATATTTGATATGCATAAACATGTGTTTAATAAGTAATAAGATGTTTAATAAGATGTAAACAACATTTCTTAATCAACATGTTTGACCGTTACTGGTGTACAAATATAAAAATTACTTTAAAAATAGTGCTTTTCTATAATACTTAAAGGTTATTTCATGTGACACAAAATTATTTATGTGTTTCAGTATCAAGACATTCACACTGACACTCGTGCCCAACGTAACGTTACGTAACCCTGACCCTAACGTTACGTAACCCTGACCCTAACGTTACGTAACCCTGACCCTAACGTTACGTAACACTGACCCTAACGTTACGTAACACTGACCCTAACGTTACGTAACCCTGACCCTAACATAACGCAACCTTGACCTTAACGTACGTGTACTTACGCTAGCCTGTATGTGTTGTGAGCTGAGAGCCCCGAGCACGTCCTGTATGAGCGTGGGCCACGTGTGCAGCACTCGCCCCGCCCCCACCTCGCTCACCAAGCAGCTCACACACACGTAGTAGCTCCTACGGGACGTGTCTAAGGACTTTAGGGCTGAAAGTAGCTTACAAAGAGCGGAGTCATCACCTGCAATAAATATATACTAGAAATAAGTAGATTTCAAATTTGACCGCTAACCTACCCCCATTGCTCTAGGGAGAGGTCAGCACACTTGTGACTTTTGAATTGCAGTGTCAATGGATGGCGATAGTCGCTTACCATAAGGTAACCCGTCTGCTCGTTTTCCCTATCGATATCCCATATTAAAACCTTGATCTGAATTTTTAAAACAGTAAAATGAACCAGTTAATACATGAAATGTGGGGGTAAACCGCAGCACGCGGACAGCATAAGACCTTCCTTACCTTCTCTGTCCAACTTAGCGCAATAGTTGACCACAGTGGCCAACATCTGCGCAGTGAGATGCCTCACGCTGTCCATGTAGTGGTCCAGGTGGGACCACGCGAATGTCACAAGGGAGTCCACTATTTTCAGCCCCGTGGTCCTGACTGTTATTTTCTGAAGACATTTACTCATTTGGTGAACAGTGCGCGCGACGCCAAGTATCACCGTCGATTCTAATGAACTCCTGAAATTGATTTACTTCTAATATATTAAATTCCAGTAATATCAAGAAAAAATTACTTGCTTATTCTTATTATTACTGCAATTTCTCTCATACATATATACAGTTTATATATCGTTGTTTTGGGGTCAAGAAACCCAAGGTCCAAAGTCGGAGTTGAGACTTTAAAAGACAGATCTGTTTCCTCGCCCTTTTTTATGTCCTAGAATGGAACTAGGGTTTTTAGGGTCCTAAAAACCTGAGCTCCAGTCAGCTTCCAGACTCTCCGTTCCTTAGAGATGGATCTTTCTAGTTTATTACTCATGGATGAACATTAATACAAATCTGTAACAGAATCGTTTATACCGATTTAGAAGATGTTTTGAATTAAAGTAATAATTTTTACCTTTCGCCTATCTCCAATATCTTAGACAGCAAGCTGAGGATAGCCGGATCACCTTTAACATATACTGCCTCAAGTTTATCCACTGACACAACTGTTGTTAAGGCCGAATATAAACATAGTTGGGATGCTTCAGCCTCGAGTAGGCCTAGCAGAGAGTCATTGCAAGTAGAGGGATTTAAGACCTGAAAAGAATAGTAACATATGACAGCTTTGTTGATAGAGCGCATCGCAAACTGTGAAGAGTCTCTACTACGGTAACCAGTACTGATACATATGTACATATATGTCACATCCGGATTATTTCTACGGAAGATCAGTGTCACACAAACGTCATAGTGACGTATACAGAGTGTGGGTTAGAGAGGGGTACATGTCAATAGAAGAGTGTGCACTCTATATTCGGATCTCTTATCGTACTGCCAGCTCTGAAGGTAACACTGGCCTAGGAACTGTACTGTTTAATAACCTACAAAGAGTTTAATTCTCGCCCGGATCACTGCTGATGCCCACAATGAGTGACAATGGTTCTCCGATATATATATTTCTAAATACCTACATATTATAGATAAATTACATCTAGACACAGAACAAATGATAGCGTTCTTCATCCATTTATATGTTGGTGAGATTCGAACCCAAGACCTCGTTATATATATAAAATAATTCTATTGATTATATGTTTATACATATAACCATATTACACAAACAAATACATATTTAAAAATATCAAATATTGTAGACCACTGGTGATTAAAGCTCTAAAGATAGAAACCTACTCACTACTAGTGTTGAGAACGTCCTTTTGCTTCAAACCCTTGATCCAGCCGTCTATCGTGACCCTATTAAGGTGTCGGTCGAGGCTCTTGCCAATCAATTCATAAGCACAAGGGCTATCGGAACCATCACCGAATCCACATTCCACATACCGACGTGAGATAAACATTTTATGTGTTTTTCTTTACCTTAATTTCTGTATTATTGTGTATACTTACTTGTAGCCAACTGTCAGGTCCATTCTTTACAATATACATAGAAATAAACAGTATGCCACACACTGATTTAGTATCCATAGGCACATCATTGTGAATCATCAAGTCTTTAATACACAGCTCTATGATAATGAACAAAGGAATTAACTCGCTGAGGCTCTCATCGTTTGCTTTCTGAACAATATGTAGTAACAGGCGTAGAGTAATATGGGATAGGGTGAAAATTTCGTTCTTTTCCGTTGGTGATAAGGTTTTGCTTTCGCTAAAATTTAAAAGATATCTGTTAGCTATGGCTGGACCATGATGATTATTTTTTTAGAAGTTACTGCCTCATCATTATCAACAGTCTTTAATAGTCCACTGCTGGACATAAGCCTCTCCTTAGAAAGGAGGTTTTGGCCTACTATACCTGCTGGCCAGGGTTGGTATAGGGTTTGGAGTTTTCCTTCTTTCTGCAGTGCTGTTGTTCTGCGTAGTTTTCTTCCTCAGTCGGCTCTTACGACACCCACGGGATGAATAGGGGTGGTGGCACTCTGTATTATTTTTTTAAGGTGTAACTGCCCCATAAAAACTACAATTTTAAGACAATTTCCTCTGGAATTAGTCTTTTAACGGAAAAAGTCCTCTTGGTTTTATACTTCATCTGTAGTAAGGGGGTAAGGTTTTTGCTAGTATGTAGAATAATTAAAGTGTGTCTAAATGTCCTAGTAGGTGTTAATTTCATGATTTATATATATTTAAAAAAAAAAGCCTGTCTTAGTGACTGTTTTAATCAAAGGACAGACAGTATGTAATGTTTTATAAGCTAGTGCTTTTTCATCTGTGACCTGGCTCCTTCACTCTCTGGCTTCCTTCACTTCATCACATCTGTTTTACTTACCCCTATTTACTTTCTTTCTTTAACCTGGAACCTTTTTTGGAAACGGGAACTTGGTGGTGATGATGATTTTCACTCATAGTTTAGATAATTTTTTACATATAGGTTTTTTTTAATGTCATGTAAAGACAGTAACTCTCATGTAAAATTCAAACCACATTTTGCTAGGAGATTATTGTGAATTCCAAGTATTCATTATCTGCTAGTCTCAAAGCCAATATCATCTGATCATGGTATATTACAGTTATTTAGTCAATAATATCAATTTAGGAAGTACAATACCTCAACAATAGATCCACACAGAAATCCAAACAGTTCATCAAGTAAGTGCCAAGTTCATTTTCCACAATCCGTACAGCTGCGACACCTGCGTTAAAATTCTCAATACATGTTGCCACTTTGCTTACGACATCTTCGTATTCCTTGTAGTGTGTTGGCTCTGGTGATATTCTTGTAGATATCTGTGATGCTAGTACACTTGTAAATGGTTCTTGAAGGTTGCTGTTTTTTGTGACATGCCTGGAAAATTAATTAACTTTAGTAAGCAATGTACATTATAAAATTATTAGTTTTTATAGAAACTGTAATGTAATATAAGTCTGCGTAATCATTATCTCTGAACAGTTAGCACAGTATTATCTCAGAACAGAAGTCATTATCTCTGACCATTATTTCTGAACAGGATTATATATTTACAATTTCAAGCTATTGTTATCTTTTATCTGTACTAGTTGAAACTATTTTGATTCCTAGAGCTTGGTCAGCAAGTCAGCATATTGTGGCAGTATATATATTTAAAAAAGACAACTATCGCATTAGGAATATATCCTGTGTCGCGGAGAACTTTACAAACATATGTGAAACGGACACTAAGAACACCCAGAATCATAACAACAATTTGTGGATCACAGACTGTGATGTCCTATGTGGGGATTGAACCCACAACACTTAGCGCAGTAGGAAGTGGCCAGGTGACCGCTTAAACCACTACGCTATCCGTGCAGTTAAATAATGAATGTCCTCTGCTGAAGTACAGCGTAACTAAAGCTTACTCAAAAGTGTTCCGGTTCTTATTTAAAGAAAAGGGTTTACTTACACTAACAGGCATAATTTTTACGCCACTGTTTAGTTATAGAGTTTAATATATTTTTCAAACGAAAAAGAGGGTAGCTGTAGATCTAATAGAAAGAGTTTTGTTAGAAAGGACGGGGAAATATAAATGATCGCAGAACATACAGAGAGTTTTATTATACCAAATACTTGTTCGTGCTAACAATTTGTTGAAAGAATTTAGTTAATTTAATGTTATTGTAGTGTGATAACAATGCACAAGTGGGATCGTAAAATTAAATTATATATTTGTCGTCTGTCCCACAAACTTGATAAATGAAGTGATTTCTATGTAAAATGTAGCATCGTATACGCACTGTTTACTTATATAAATGCTATATTAATTTAATCCCAAATACTATAAAAGCACATATTATTATAAGTGCTATATGTGTATACTAGCTTTTGACGGCGGCGTCGCCTTGGCCTAGATAAATAGTAGCCTCTATGCTCTATGCTATTCTAGGCTATAATCTAACTATGTGCCAAATCTCATCCATAAATACAAAAAAATAGGTGTCTAATTATTTCACCAGGGACTTCCACACCAGGGACTTCCTTTCTAGGGTATACCTGGTTCCTCGGCTATTAGTACCCGAGACGGCGTGCGGTTTTAGTCGGTTCGAGTCCGACATGCCACCGACAGGTGGTATCCGAGGGGATTTCCGCACGGAAAAAAAGAAAAAAAAAAGGTGTCTAATTATTATTATTTTTGATAGATAATATAATCATACTAAGAGTTTGGAATTGATAAGTTAAAAAAAATTGTTCCCCATACAAACTTACACCCATTTTTAAGGTTACTTTGGAAAAATTTGTAACAACGTTTTTATTACTTTTTATACCTATAAAGAGTAACTGTAGTTTGAAAACATTGCTACCAAAAATCACAAAGTTTCATCTATATTTTCAACTTCCATTTTGCACCCATATTACTTTCTATATTGCATTACTTTCTGTAGACTATTTAAACTTATAGGATACTTTAATAAATTCTATTTTTTTTGTGCAATTAGTACCTAGTGATCAAACTTTAATGCATACAAGTGTATTTAACAAAAAATTGTGGTGGTAACATTTAGCAAATAAGGTTATAATTACATTATGAAATCAAACTCGCTTTTACTTTTTTCACTATTTAATTATTTTATGCTCGTTTTGTATTCTATAAAAAAATAATACCTTTGACTGATATTCAGAAGGTCAGGGGTTTGATTCTCGCTCAAGTGAAACATTTGTGTGCATTAACATTTAATGTTTGATTTGGTCTGGGTGTTTCTATGTATGATATGTATATTTACAAATAAAAAAAATGTATTTATATCAGTTGTCTAGTACCCATAGTACAAGCTCTGCTTAGTTTGGGACTAAATGGCGATGTGTGAATGTGGTAAAAAAAAAACAAATGCCGTACGGTGAAACCGGTCAGGTCAGACTATATTTTCACCAGGTATGTATAGTTCCACCAAGTGGGGACAATCAAGAGTATAATGAGATGTTACATTACCTTGCGATAAAACATTTCAGAGGATGTTTAGCCTCTGCTTGTAGAAATACGACGACCATAAACTTTATAATATCAGTGTCAATCGCATCTCTGTACAGATCTACAATCTTTCTTAAAATGGGTAACTGTTCATCTGTAGAAGTGGCATCAGCAAATTTTTGAAATAACTCGTGATATTTATCTAAAAATTTAATATTAAATTATATTGCATAACATTGTTTGGTGGATTGTTTTTACTAAATAAATAACATACTATATTATTTCATACCTGATGTTTTAAAACTAGAAATTGATATGTTTACAGGAGAAAAACCAATTGATTTTTTTGATTTACTATCGCTACCTCGACTTATTCTCAACGCTAGACCATTCATGATGTTTAAATGTGGTTACTTGGTTAAATTGAGTCTATTTTATTTCAGAAATTAAAAAAATATGTTATTTTATCAACTTCAACTTTTCGTTAATGGCTTTGTGGTAGAATGTAACCACAATTTCGCCAATGTTTGTCTTTCAAATACATGACGTATTTGAAAGACAAACTGTCAAAGGATTTTATGTAGAGCTGTGGTAGAGCCAAAAAAAATAATTGAGAATGAAAGAATAACAATGAATAAATTGTTATCTTTTACAGGCATGATAAAACTTAAACTAGTAAAATATATAAACAGCTAATAATATATATACATATACAAAATAATAAATAACCAGTAAAACAAAAACAAATATTACACTGTGATATTGAAACTATCATTTAATTTTGCTTAAAGTTATACACTTACCTAGAATGAATACAAAAGGAGTAAAAATGCGAGACAAGAGTAATTTAAGACACGTGGGATGAGGAATATGAGGAGGAATGAATTCATAAATAGGAAAATTAGTTCTAGGACAATTAAAAAATATATGGTTCGCGTTTCCATCATCAAGCCTACACTCACAAATAGAGCTATCCCTAATTCTGAGTTTTGCTAAAAATACTGGAGTGCATGAGTGATTTAGTCTTAACCGACAAATTATAGAAGTGGTGTCTTTTTTTTTTTTTTATATTTAGCAAACCACGGCTTAAGTGGATTTTCTGGTTGTATATCGCCGTAAAATTGGCCTGTCACAGTTTAAGACACGCGCCACAGCATGGACCACGAATCAAACAGCTGTGATTTAAGGGATGAACAAATATCGTAAGAGTATATTTCTGTATGGTCATGATGGTCACGTCTCTGTCACTCCGATGACACGAGTACCCCGGGACCCGAAATCGGGAACCAGGCACCAGCCATGTCTCCGAAATGGCGATAACTGATGGAATAAAAGAATTAATTAAATTGAGAAGCTCATGTTTCTTAGGACGAAGACTCTTCGCATTCCATTGAAGAACAACTGCCATAATTAGAAGCAAGGGAGAGGATATATGTAAGTTTCTGGGCAACGTTGGGCGGTAAAGATGATTTTTTATTTGATATCAAATTGACAATCATAGATAGCAACAGCTCTAATAGACCTTCATCTTGAGTAGGCGAAGCCTTTGATTGAGAACATTGAAGAGAGTATCCGTTTGGCAAAGACGACGATTCTTCAGAAATAGGGCTTGATGAGCAGCCTTGTCGAAGGATTTTCCTAAAGGAGCCTTAAGACGCGGGAAAGAAATAACAGTTTTTTTATATGATATAGTAGTGATTGGAGGAGAACGCTGCTGGGAAGATGTCAAACTTGAAGAGAGCGGGAAGGAAGGCGAAGACTGTCCAAGGACTCTAGAGTATAATTTGCCAACTTGAGGAAACTGCCTGGCCACTTCCTCATAATTTAAATTTTCTTGAGCCATTAAGGTTTTTATACTTTTCTGCCTTCTCTGCTCTGGCAAGCACCGCTGGTAGTAAAATGATCACCAAGACAGTGAAGACAGGAAGCTTCAGCCTCGACTACGTTACAAGTCTCCCCAGAGTGGGTACACCGGAAGCAACGTGGCTTTGACCGGCACTGTAATTTCGTGTGACCAAATCGACAGCAAAGGAACCATCGGATAGTTGGAAAATTATACATCTCACCGGGTAGGACGAGTGATAGCTAAAGATTCTTTGTGGGAGGATTTTTCCGCGGAAGGTTAAGACCACAGACTGCGTAGGGATCCATACAGTCTTACCGTCCTCAACAGTTTTTCTACTCAGTCTTCTCGCTTTTAGGATTTCGCCACATCTATCAGGAACAACTACAGATTGGACAAAATCCGTCATCGACCAATCTGTTGGAATATGGCGAACTACACCCATTTTGGTGATATTGTAGGTAGGTATCGAAGCAGTGTATTTGTTAGTATTCAAAATAGGGTTGTCTAGAAATTTATTTGCATCTTCAGCTGACAGAAATTCAACTGAGATTTTGTTTCTGCCTACTTTTTTTACCCCATCTGTTGCGATTTTCGAAATTTTGTTAAAACATAAAAATTGACCAAATTTTAATGGGCGAATAGAGGTGCCGGAGGAAAGATCTGGTTCTATCCGCGATACGTGCACTATAAACGGGGCTTTATCTGAAGGTTCGTACATTTTAACGCCTATCACAATACTCGGATGGATATATACTGTTTTCTGTAATATTTCTTTTTGGATCCCCATGACAGATAGCATCCTCAGAGGCAAGGCGACGCTTACCATGAGAAGCCATCTGAGGAACCACTCGACCTAAACCTCCAGGGTCCGGGGGATCTGGAGGAATAGGGGGAGACGGCTTCACAATGAGGGACATACCTATCTTAATTATTTAAAGGATAAATCCTTTATAAATATTTAAACAAATAAACAAAGATAATAATCTATTTAAACTAAATGAAACAAATTACTTACTGAAAATTCTACACATAAATAATAATAAGACTGCCTGATGATTAAAAGAAAACAATTAAAACTAAGGAACAGAAAAATAAGGTTAGGATCCGAGTGACAACTCCTCTCCACAACCCAGCGAAAAGCCCTTAAAAAACCAAAATCTCAACATAACCTCAATCATGTTATTTTATATTTTGCATTAGATCAACATACTATGGATAGATACATTGACGTGATGGTAAAACTAAGTTTAAACGTCACTTTGACAGTTTGAAAACAAAACGAATCTTGTTCAGAAAACTTATAAACTCAACTTTTCTAATTTGTGATTTTTATAAATAAACTAGCTGAGACCCGCGTTTGTTGTTATAACCGCGGGGCGAAGCTAGTCTAAAATAAGTAGCCTAAGTTACTCCTTATGTCATCAGCTATCTGCCAGTGAAAGTCGCGTCGAAATTGGTCCAGCCCTTCCAGAGATTACCCGGAATAAACAGACAGACAAAAATGGTAAAAAATGTTATTTTGGCATATGTACCTACCGTGTGTAAACCTACATATACATTTAGTAAAAAGCGGTTTTTTATTTGCAATTATATTTATTTGTATAAATATAGATCATCATCATCATCATCATCAACAGCCTTTACTAGTCCACTGCTGGACATAGGCCTCTCCTTAGATATAGATGTATAGATTAAATGATTTTATTGTTACAAAATGCTCCTGAAAAATAACGTTTACCACCAAGTTAGTTTCTGATGATGGGATCCTATAGAAATCTAGGGAAACCCTCAAATTTTACAGCCCAGACCCTTTGTTTTAGCTTGTTTAACTATACAGGTATTTGAGTTTGGTAGTCATCTCATGTTGCTGAGCTGAGTTACAAACTCTGATATTTGGCGACAATTTTTTTGTGTTAACAAAACTAAAATCCTTGGTAGTGGCCAAGCCAGTGTCAGTGATATTTTAAAGTAACATTATCTCTAATAACTTCGAAAAGGTCTATATGAATTTTACTACTAAAACGTTGTTATCACAATAAATAAAACAAAAACAAACTTCATAAAAAAAACATTTATTTCCTGTATCGTTGATTTTTTTTTTTTTTTTTTTAAGGACTTTTATTGTCCGACATATCAGTCATATTGTTATACAAAATACATTGTTTACAAGTACCATTATAAAACTTAATACTAAACATTAAGATATATTGGAATTTCCGCACATCTTATAGTTTCTCAGCTGCTTATGCGAAGAGAGAATGCTATGAAATAATCCAATATCTTGTCTTCTCTTGGAATAAATGTTCTTTGGCAATACGATTCCGCTGACATTCCAATAAAAATGGCGGACATCGTTATTGTACCACAGGTTTCACAGTTGGGCGACTCATTTTACCCCATCTTACATTCAAACTTATTTTTCTATCTTTCTTTCTTTTATTTCAGTCACAACGTTGAGAACAACCTGTTTGGTTTTCTGTTCCTTAATTTCTTCTGCAGGGACAGCATCTTTCTGGATCTCATTCGAAGGTTTGCTTCCACTTAGCTTGCTACCGTCGTCGCTGCTTTCGTCATTATCGACTGTAAAAGAAAACATTTCATAAGTTAATATATCTTACACTTAGTTGTCGTAGAACCAATGCCGGAGTACGGGCTCCTCTCCGTCACATTGTGGAAACATACAACACACAAAGGTGTGTTGTATGTTTATTTATTTTATTTTATTTGTTTATATGACACACAATACAACTATTTTTACAGGTTTTGTACCTAATACAATAGTGTAGCCATTTGTTGTTAAAAACATATATAAATAACACTTATTTTATAAACAATTTTAGCAACCTCATTCATCACTACAGCCAGACACACAGTCACACTCATATACTTCCAATCACACCAATCACACCCATCACAGACAAACCACTCCCAGACACGGCACATACTGACCCGCCTATCACACAATTTTCTCAAAGTGCAGCAACTCAAATATAAAATACGCACGATTTACACTTCGTTCTTTCAAATATTATTTCGTGTGGGTTGCACATACACTAAACAGATTATTTACTCTAACTTTAAACTAGTTATTACCCAACGTGTAACTGTTTAATGTCCCATTGAATAAATAAATACCTGTGACTGATTTACGCACAGGACTCGTGAAAGGTCTGAATCTAAAAAATAAAAAAAGGTCGTAATCTTTGATAAAAAGAATTATGACTGATTTTAATGCCTTTTATCTTTGTCTATGACGAAATCACAATCACATGTGAAATCGCTGTGATTAAAACGAATCATTTGACTAGTTTAGGTTTGGAATTTAAAAGTCATTACATGTTGAAATCTATATATATATATATATATATATATATATATATATATATATATATATATATATATATATATATATATATATATATATATATATATATATATAGATATATAAATAAATATAAGAGATTTCCACGTATATAGTCACTCATCACGATATCTCTGGAACGATTAGAGCTAAAGACTTGAAATTTGGTAGGAATATTCTTTTCACCGAGTAGAGGTCAGCTAAGAACGGATTTTAAGTTTTTTTTTTTTTTTAAATAATGTAAATAGCAAAACAACGTTTGCAGGGTCAGCTAGTGATATATAAATACGTCATTGGACAGGGTGCGGACTGCTGAAATTCAGGAATCTTAATAGTTTTTCTCACTGTCCACTATGTATTGTTTTATTTTTCCCCATTTTCCACACAATAAAATACTAACAGTTTTAATAAGTAACAATAATTTGACGAATTAAAACAAACTTAAAAAAATATCAATATCGTGCTAGCGGTAGCAACCTTGCGGACGGTACTAAGACGATGGCGGTACCTGCAGCGAGGTGCGGGCGGGGAGGCCGCATTCCACGCGTTGGTCTAAAACGCTTGGTCGAATAGTACATAAGTATAGGATAATTATTTCATGCATCAGACACATTGAAAGTAGTGGACTATTATTTATTTTTAATGACACACATACAGTTATAATTATCAAATAATTACGTAACAAAATACAAAAGACAATAAGAATAGTCGATAGCCATAGACAAATTGATAAAATAAAGGAAACATTATGCAGGTATGTTATAAAAGACTTTTTTATCTGTGGATTAGAAAGAGTCCACTAATATCTTTTCTCCTAGTCTTTCCCAAACAAAAATTGTTTTACACATAGCATTAAATATTATAAAATTCTAAGAAAAAAGCCGAATTTTAAAATACATTTTTTTTACTACAAGACGATGCAATTTGATTCGAATAATTTTTATGTGAAGACCCGCCATTATTCTTTGATGCCTTTAATTAATTTGCAATTTAATCAAGGTGTTACAGAAATATAAAGTCAAATTTTAGACGTGTTATATAAATTAGCTCAAAAAAATTCCACATCATAAGACCGTTACCTTTTCTGCCCAACTTAGCGCAATAGTTGAGCACTAGGTCCAACATCTGCGAAGTGAGTTGCCCCACGCTGTCCATGTAGTGGTCTAGGTGGGACCACGCGAACATCATCAGGGAGTCCACTATCTTCAGCCCTGTGGCTGTGACCTTTATTTTCTCAAGACTTTTACTCATTTGATGAACAGTGCGCGCGACGCCAAGAATTACTGATTCTAACGAACTCCTGATGAAGAAAAATTTGCTTTAATTACTTTTTAATTTCATTAGAGAGACTATAAAAGTTAGATCTGAGAGATTCATCAGCCTTTTCTTAAATAATTTCCAAGCCTGGAACTTTTTAAGGTCCTAAACACCCGAGCTTCCTTAGACAACGGTCTTTCTAAAATCAAATGCTTTTTATTGAGTACGCCTTGTTACAGTACATTTTCAAACATCATTAATACAATTGATAATCAAAATAAAATAGACACTAGACCAATAGGGATGAAATAACCCTGATGACCTAGTGAAAGGTCATAAGGGTCACAAAAACACATTTATATAACTATTGCAAGTCCTAACATAAAGCAGTCCTCCGTAACTAGATGGGCTTATAACTAAAGCTATGTAAACACTCCCACAAGAAAGTTTAATAGGTAAGAGGAAGGAAAAATCCGAAAAAACTCAGTCGAGTTGATGGAACATCCTTATCATTGAAATAATCTGAAAAGAAGTAATAGGCTTTCAAAGTAAGCTTGTTTCACGCAGTTTTTATATCTGTCCATTGGTAAACTGGATAAACTATTTGGGATTTTGTTATAGAAATTCACACAATTTCCCTTAAATTAATTAAGTTCCTTTTAGAGTCGAGTAATGGGCACTGCAAGCTTTAATAAGATTGCATGATATACCTTGAAAATAAAAATTATGATCTCTATAACAAAAAAAGTTCTGAGGTAACAAACATTAAAAAAAAAATACAGTCGAATTGAGAACCTAATCCTTTTTTTGAAGTTGGTTAAAAACAAGAACCTCGAGTAGCGTGTTAAAGTCCTGGAACAAGGATTTAAAGAGTTTGAGCAACAAACTCTTGGGACATCTCTGGAAATAGCTGGGTTACCTGAAATGCTTTCCGGTGAGATGAAAAAGGTTGTAGACACAGTAGCCTCTAAACTGAACGTGAAGGATAAGGAAAAGCAATCATCACGACAACAACCAGGAACTAAGAACAAACCAGGTTCCATCTTTGTAGAATTTCAGTCGAAGACGCTCCAGCAACAGTGAGACGCTAGCAAGGAACACTGCCTCACCGTGGGACAACTAATGCCGAACGTCCCGAAGGAAAAGGCTGATGGTCGTGTTAACAAACGGGAGGCCTTAACTAAGCATCAGAAAGTGTGTGCTAGGAAGTCCAATACTAGTAAAATTTACTATTTCCGTACATTCCATGACATTGAACAAATTAAAAAGTTATTCTCAGCTGATCCTGAGAAACAAACGGGAGGGTATCACATCACACATCACATCAACAGCCTTTAACAGTCCACTGCTGGACACAAGCCTCTCCTTGGAAAGGAGGTTTTGGCCTACGGGAGGGTATAAACTACTGTAAGCTCGTCTGAGTTCGTGTTTCAGGTAGTCCTTTGTTAAAATTATTAAGGACATAATTATGGATTTAAATATCAAAGAAATTTTGCGAATAACTTCATTAAATAAATGCCAGCGAAAACTAGTATAAGTCTATCATTTCTGCATTTTAATATAAGGTCAGGTCTATTAGTACCCGAGACGGCGTGCGGTTTTAGTCGGTTCGAGTCCGACATGCCACCGATAGGTGGTATCCGAGGGGATTTCCGCACGGAAAAAAAAAAGAAAAAAAAAAGGTACAAAAAGGGTAAAAGAAACTATTATGCAAATTATCGTCCAATAATGTAGCTTTCATCAATCTATACATATAAATAAAATTGAAGTGTCTTTTTGTAATGTCAAAAAAAAATTTTTTTTTCATGCTCACCAGGTTATTTGCACAATGCCTTTGCCTAAAAACCAGTTTAATTTTTTTTGTATGTCTGTCTGTCTTGTTAGTAGTAGTAGTAGTTGAGTAACTTAGGCTATTATCCCTCTCAGAAAAACCCTTTAAAATTTTGCACGGCCCGGAAACCGAACACACTAAAGCGAACGAAGTCGCGGGCTCCAGCTAGTTGATAAAATAGTTGAAAAACATGTATGTGAGCAAATCTATGCGTTTTATAGGAAATACAACGTAATCAATCAGCAGCAGTTTGGCTTCCAGTCTGGCAAAAGCACTATGGCTCTTTTCAAAGTTCACTGATGAAGTCAATAAACATTTAAATGAGAAAAAGCATGTCCTTGCTCTCTTCATTGACTTCTCACGTGCGTTTGATACATTGGTGCATGATCAGCTGATCGATAGATTGGATGACTGCGGAGTACGAGGCCCGTTACTGACGTGGTGTGCAGATTATCTAAAAAATCAGGCCTTCACTGTCAAAATCGATAACGCCTGCAGTGGACTCGCGTCTGTAACTTAGGGAGCACCTCAAGGCTCCGTAATAGGTCCCCTACACTTCTTGACCTACGTAAATGACATGAGCAACTGCATCACCTGCAGTTCATGCTATCAGTTTGCGGATGACACTTGCCTTGTAATTGCTGATAAAAATCCCCTAACGGCGTGGAAACATTTGCAGTCTGATCTCTAGATCTTGCTTTAACAAGATGGTGTCATGATGCTGGCCTTGTACTCATCGCAAGCAAAGCAAGATTACTAGTGATTAAATCTCCGTACATAAGACCTATTCCCGTACAGAATTTGATAGTTCATCGCCATGACTGTTTGCATGACTTCATTTCGAAAAACTGTAACTCTCCATCAATAGAAATCCTCAAAAATTATAAAGGTCAGTGCTGTTTATGACTTTCTAGTTTTTAACTTATGGGTGAACATTAATACAAATCTGTAATAGTATTGTTTATACCGATTAGGAATTTTGAATGAAAGTAATAAATTTGTACCTTTCGCTGATCTCCAATATCTTAGACAGCAGGCTTAGGATAGCCGGATCACCTTTTACATATACTGCCTCCAGTTTATCCACTGACACAACTGTTGCTAAGGCCGAATATAAACATAGTTGGGATGCTTCGACTTCCATCAGGTTTAGCAGAGAGTCACTGCAAGTGGAAGGATCCAAGACCTGAAAAGTAGTTACATATAGCAGTTCGCTGATAGAGGTAACACAATAACCCACCTCCGCCTGATAAACATACACCCAGATACAGAACATATGATCATGCTTAACACACAATTATTTGTACCTGGTGGAATTAAAAATATTAGACCACCGACATCGGGTACGGGGGCCAAGACACCGGTGGTTAGGTCTCCAAGGACAGGAACTTCCATATGGGCCGTGTCGAGGGAAACTTTTTCTGCATCAGACCCTTGATCCAGCCTCTTGACGTGTCGGTCGAGGCTTTTTAAACTTTCTTTAATTTATGTTTTTTACTGATTATTATTATTATATGTATACTTACATCTAACCAACTGTCGGGTCCATTCTCTACAATATACATATACATGTAGAGAACGCCACACACTGATTTTGTTTCCAAAGGAACATCATTGTCTAACATCAGATCTTCAACACACATCCCTATGGCAGTGAACATAGGGATTAATTTGCTGAGGCTCTCATCGTTTGCTTTCTGAACAATATGTAGTAACAGGCGTAGAGCAAGATGGGACAGGTTGAAAATTTCATTCTCTTCTGTTGGTGTTAAGGTTTCGTCTTCGCTGAAACTTTAAAGAAATCATAAGTTAGCTACAGCTTTACTATGATGATATTTTTTAAGGAGTTACTATCCCATTTAAATTAATAATACCAGTAAATTTTCTCTATAGTTAGAGTTTTCTTCTGATTATACTTCACCTGTTAGGGGGTTAGGTTTCTGCTGGTGAGTACAATAATTTCAGTATATCGCAAAATACCAGCAAGTATAAGTACTGTATACTATGATTATTCATTTATTTTTATTTATTTATGTAATGCAATACAACTATTTTTCAAAGGTTTTGTACCTAATACAATAGTGTAGTCATTTGTTGTTTCGCATTAGGAGTACATTTCTGTGTCGCGGTGGACTTTACAAACATACATGAAACAGACACAAAGAACACCCAGACTCAGAACAACAATTTGTGGATCACACAAAGTGTCGTCCCACGTGGGGTTTTGAACCCACAACACTCGGCGCAGTAGGCGTAGCGACCGCTTAAACCACTACGCCGTCCGTGCAGTTTACTTTTGCTGTCCTTGAAATGAATCTGAGAAAGCGTCCACTCTCAAGAAGGATAATCGTCATTAAAACCACCCGACACCCGATCAGCACCACCTCGTCTCTCGGTGTCCACTCGCTGTGGACAGGTGGTCCACGGTCGGGTGCCGCTTACATTATATGCATTAAGTTACCTCGCCAATAGATCCACACAGAAACCCAAACAGTTCGTCAAGTAATTAACAAGTTCATTTTCCATGATCCGTACAGCTGCTACACCTGCGTTAAAATTCTCAATACATGTTGCCACTTTGCTTACGACATCTAAGTATTCCTTGTAGTGTGTTGGCTCTGCTGATATTCTTGAAGATATCTGTGATGCTAGTACACTTGTAAATGATTTTTGAAGGTTGTTGTTTTTTGTGACATATCTGGAAAGTTAATTTTTAAGTTTAATAAAGGGACATCTATAAATCACGTCACACGTTAGGGGGGACGGTGTCGACGAAATGTGACAATAGGTGGGAGGGGTCCTAATTTTTGTTACGTCTGTATATCTCAGTATTGAAACGCGAAATTTGAATTATTCACAGTACTATTAGTTGTGACTAGGACTTACGTGGGGGTCGAAAAACCATTTAAGTGTGACTTAGTTTATGGATAGCCTTAAGCAAAGTGCGAAAAAAAAATAAAAGCGACTTCATTTTATACTACGTAAAGATTAACATTACAGTCAACATCGGATGTTTAATACGTACTTTACTACAAGATATTATAACATTTGTGAGATCAAGAGTAGACCAGAAATGAATTTTGAATAAATTTTTGTTATGAGACTTGACTTTCTGCTCTGCTTGAGCTATTGCTATGCTAAAGTAGGCCATCAAAATTGTAAGTGAGATGTCAGATGTTACCGATGATATGCAACCGTTGTAAGGTTTGTTTGCCAACAGGCTAGTTGACTCAATGTGAAAACTTTGTTAATTGTATACTTCTGTCTTATATTTCTGTTTTTGATGAGGCAGTTATTTGTCATAAATTTATATTTAACTAGCTGAGACCAGCGGTGTTACCCGCGTCTGTTGTTATAACCGCGGGCAATGCCGCGGGGCGAAGCTAGTCTAAAAAAAGTAGCCTAAGTTACTCCTTATGTCATCAGCTATCTGCCAGTGAAAGTCCCGTCGAAATCGGTCCAGCCGTTCCAGAGATTACCCGGAACAAACAGACAGACAGACAGACAGACAGAAATTGTAAAAAATGTTATTTTGGCATATGTACCGTGTAAACATACATATGCATTTAGTAAAAAGTGGTTATTTTAATATTACAAACAGACACTCCAATTTTATTTATTAGTATAGATATAGATAGTATAGATTGGTATAGAATATAGATATAGATTTAATTTATTGACATTCTGGTTTTACCCGATTATAATAAATGTGACTCAAAATTTTGTAAATTATTATGCTTTTTTACTGACAGATAAATCTATTTGCATTTGAAGAAGATTGTCTGGACTTTAAGAGACGATAATCACTGAGTTTGTTTCATCCTTTCTTCTCAGGACTAGTCCTGTTAGGAGGCCGAACTCATCTTCTCAAAAACAGTTTGACATGCAAAAGTGTTCCTGTAAACTATTTGCAGAATAAACAATATCATTTCACTCCTTTAGTAGTAGTGTATAGTTATCTGTGAGAAAAATATATTAATTCACCTAACATTTATAATTTCATAAATATTTTTAACATACATTATTCTGGCAGAGTATTTAAATATATCAGAGAGTGAGGGTTACTTGATCCTCAGTTATTATCCTCTGATTACTCCTAAGTAATCTCTTTAAGTTGTACATTTTGGAAATTTTTATCATTTAAGTAAATCATCAACAGCCTCTACTAGCCCACTGCTGGACATAGGCCTCTCCTTAGAAAGGAGGTTTTGGCCTACTATACCACGCTGGTCAGACTGGTTGGTATAGGGTTTGTTTCAAGTTTTCCTTCTCTTTGCAGTGCTGTTGTCTTGCGCTGTTTATTCCCTCAGTCGGCTCTTACGACACCCACGTGATGAATAAGGGAGGTGACACTCAGTATTCTTAATCCGTCACCACACGGTTAAGTTTAAGTAAATAATATTTTAATTTTCATATTACCTTGAGATAAAACATTTCACAGGATGACCAGCATCTGCTTGTAGATACACAACCACCATAAACTTTATAATATCAGTGTCATATGTATCTTCATACAGATCTACTATTTTTCTTAAAATAGGTAACTGTTCGTCTGTAGAAGTGGCATCAGCAAATTTTTGTAATAATTCATCATGTTCATCTACAAATATAATTTTAAATTAATTTGCATAAGAGACCGGATAAATTACATGAACATACATAAAAACACAGGGGTCTCTGGAAGAAAACTTAGACTTGGGTTAAGCTCACAACATTTAATTGTTGTTGAATCGACGCCAATTATTGTGTGCAAGATTGAATAAATAAAATACCTATGATATTATTTCATACCTGATGTTATAAAACTAGAAATTGATATGTTTACAGGAGAAAAATCAATAGATTTTTTTGTTTTACTATCGCTATCTCGACGTTTTCTAAATATTGGACCGCTCATGATGTTTATAAGTGGTTACTTCGTTAATTTGAGACTATTTTCTTTCAGAAATATATATAAAACATGTGTTATTTTGTATTAACAATGAGATCAATATAATCAATACAAAATGGTGAACAGTTCATGTAAAATGTAAATACTACTCAGAGTGGGGGACAGTGTTGCCAACAGTTAATAAATTCTCCACCAGATTCAACATCTAAAACCATCAGTAAGAATTACTAATGTATGGGCAAAAAACTTTTTTAAAATCCACATCGCAGAATTTTTTTAGGTGAATTTTCATTGATAAAAACACATTTGTCAAAAGAACTTATCGCGTAACTTATTTTGGGCCCAGTTATTGTTGAAGAAATTGTTACTTTGTCATGTTTCATTTTACTTACGATTATTTAGTCAAATATATCGTTTGAATTTCCATATGAAACCAAATTTACTGCACTGAAAAATAAATAAAAAACTGAGTATAAAATCTCGGAACAGTTCGTTTCTGCTTAGTAAGTTAGTGAACCTACTTTTCGGACAGCAGTTAAGAAAACAAAAAATATTTTGAATTACAATATTTGCCAAATTAAAGGTTTGCTAAAAAACCATTTGACTCAATAAAACTTGACAAAGTAAAATAGTGCAAAATGATAATTTCATCAAAAGTGTATAAAATGCGAAATGGCTAAGGATTCATTTGGGATATGAAACTATGGCGAAAAATATTATGCCCAAATGGTCACCCACCAGAACACCACTACCGAAAGACTCTAATAATCGCTAAATTATTCGCTAAAATTTATTTTAGTTCATCAACAGCTTTTAACAGTCCACTGCTGGACATAAGCCTCTCCTTTTGAAAGGTTTTGGCCTACTATACCACGCTGGCAAGACGGGTTGGTAGAGGGTTTGTGTCAAGTTTTCCTTCTCTTTGCAGTGCTGTTGTTCTGCGTGGTTTTTTCCCTCAGTCGACTCTTACGACACCCACGGGATGAATAGGAGTGGTGACACTCTGTATTCTTAATCCGTCACTACACGGACTTTATTTTAGTTATTAGGAAAGAAAATAATGAATACCTATGTTAAAAAGACCTATTTCTTAGCGTTTCATCGATTAACCCTGCGGGTGCAGCATCCATCGCGTGATAGTTAGGGGCAACATATGCGACTGCGACAGCGCCTGAGAATTATGACCCAGGAATAGGTTTACAGAGCACTCCTTGCGACGCGTCAGCCCTCACCTCCACTGTGTGCTGTGTTACCCTCTCTACGTAACCATATTTGATACGAGCCTGGCAATGCCGCTTTGGATATTCGTTCAAAAAAAGAGCTCACTGAAAAGGGCTACTTCAAGAAAAGAACTTACCTAATTAGTTTCATCAGAAGCAGCAACAAAAAAATTATTCTATGACAACAGTTACTTTTTTAAATTAATTCTTTTTCAAATGAAATCTTCATCCCCTTGCCTAAAATTAATAATCCTTCTCTTCCTAAGCACTTTCGTCTAATCTCCATTCTTACTTTCATATGAAAGGTTCTTGAGGTTTACGTTCAAACAGTTCTCACAGTTCGTCTTTCAACTTCATCTCCAGAGGACTTAAGAGATGATACAATCTTACTACTACCACTAAACCACTAGAGAAATCCACTAGCCACTTAAAGCAATATTTCGCCACTGAGAGGGTAGTCGAAATCACCAATTTTAGTGGAAACTCTATTAGATTGGCAGCACTGGTCAGAGACGAAACTAACTTTTAAACGTGACCTTGACATTGACAGATAACAACGAAAAATCTCTTTGAAAACTATGTTTGAAAATGGAAAACAGAGCAAAGCTTACAGGTATACCTGGTTCCCCGGCTATTAGTACCCGAGACGGCGTGCGGTTTTAGTCGGTTCGTGTCCGACATGCCACCGATAGATGGTATCCCAGGGGATTTCCGCACGGAAGAAAAAAAAGAGCAAAGCTTACACAGATAAACAAATAGATTGGTTTATCAAGTAAATGCTAATTGTATTATTTTTATATGACAATTTGTGTGTGAAAGTATGTATGTGTATAATCCACAAAACATGTTCGACTAGTACTTAAAATAATCATGTTCTCAATTTCTAATACATAGGTATTTATCCATAAGGGTATTGCCTATGCTCGCCTATAAATTAAATTATATTATTTACCTTTCTAATATTATTTCTGGGTATCATATTATTATTATTATTTATTAAACAATTTATGATCATCAAAAACTTGTCTATTTTAGGAAGATCATCTGATTGTGCTTTGACAAAACCGGTTTCAGTCACTGTGTTAAGTCTTTCTTCACAAGGATTTGATGCCTACTTTAAAACAGAAAACTAATAACGTTATATGAAACACCGCGAATCAATTCAAAATAATTACCACCAGTAACCATAGAAACAACTCGTTGACAGTCGTTGACAGTGAAATTTGACGTTACGTTTTGTTCTACCAATCGCGTAGCGTTTTAGAAAATTTCTAAAACGCTACGCTATTGGTAGAACTTTAAA